TAATGATCGATATATCTCGGGTTTATAGTATTGACCCTCGACTTTTAGTGGTATACTTTCGTCCAGTTTGATTCATTATTTTTATGCATAATATAATTGCTACTAATAAAATGAAAACATTAACCGGGACGCCATTCTATGCCAGGATACGCAATTTTCAAAATTTAGTGTATCAACATCAAGAGAAACAGAAAACTGTTCTAAATCTCTCAATGATTCTTGATTTGAATTACATCCAGTGGCACACCATATCGGGGGACTCAGACTTCACTCCCTCCCAGAAGACAAAGACACTTTCTCGAATAAAGGTTTTACTAATTTTCTTTAGAAACGAACATTATTCAGTGTCTCAAATGAATGGGTTAAAAATACATCAACAAACGAAAATTAAATAAAATTCACCATTAATGAAAAATGATTTATAATAAAACATGAAGACGGCTGAACACTATCCCTAATACTAATATCCCGACACAAATACATACAAACGTCCGCTTCTGATTGCGTCATTTATCACATCAATATTTCTCTTGAATAGTTATCTCATTTTTTCCTGGAACGATGTCCCAATCAAAGAGCTGCACCCAACAATAAACAGTCATGTTTAAAAATGTTTTTTTCATTTCGTTGATTTACAATGCACATGAATTTCGATCGCAAATTTAGATTACGGACAAAAAACGTAGGTAATCTACTCCTTTTTTAAATTTATTTTATTTCGCAATGCTTTTTCCTTTGCGTGTCTGACACATCGTGTGTCTGACTCGTTATATTAAAATTGATGAATTTTACTTCGAATGAACTAAATGTCTCAAATAATTCAGATTAACTTCCCATTTCCATAAAAATTAGCCATGCTTTATCTTGGATTGCATACATTTTTGACATAACTATCATTTCTCTCACAGAATATGACAAAACGAATAAAATAATGACAAATGACGATTGCAAACATTATTTTCTTACCACTTCTTTCAAAAAACTCTCACAAAAGGGCGAAGACAAAGTGACGGCAAAAGAGAAGGAACGTTGGATATTTTGGCATTTAACCAATGGGACAATGCAATCTCAAGAATGAGGAGTCTGCCAAAGGGATACCTTGGTCGGTCAACGACCTTGCTTCGAATAGGAACAACGTTTGTGTAATCTTCAGGAAAAACGGAAATTAGTGACGTACTGATAGCAGAGCGATTACGAATGAAACGTCAGACTGTCCGCAAGGTGAAGTCCATAACGACGCACTTTCGTCGGGTACCTAGCCGTTTATACCTTAAAGAAGTGAGTAAATCCTTATAATCATTTATATAATACAAATGTAATTTTCATCAGATATCGTTGGTGAGTTGTAAAGAAGTGGTTAGTATACACGTAATACGATAAATTACCTGATCTCACGTTTCTCCGCATACGTTTTGAAATCTTTAGATAATACCTTTAAAAAAGTCACTGATTTCAATATTTTTGCTATTTAATTAACCACGAACTACTTGGTATTGTATCTGTAATATAGTATTGCGTAAGATTTCTCCAAGAATGTTACTATCGTACTTCACCGTAAAACTGGAGAGCAGGACGTATACGCTCAACAGTATAAACTTTTCAAATTCGTTAATTACAATGTTTGTTAAATCATAATTGTTATTGAGACAATTTATTTTAGTAAAAATAATGAAAATGTGTTCAATATTATTAGAAATTGGCAGAAAAAAAATTGTAGCAAATACTAAGTAGTTTGTATGGAATTTTCAGGTTTTGAGAATGTCAATTAGAGCAATGTTTGCTTAATACAGTTACATTTCGCTTTTGATTCTTATTAGTTCCTAAACTTCCAACAATATGCTCTGCTTAGATGGACATTTTGAAATAAATAATATGCCACCATTGGAATTACCAACCTTATACTATTGAAACTTCGGAATTGCCAATCGCAAACAGAACATCTGCGTGACGTTGTCCAGGAAACGCTTCTAATACGCCCCGGACCCCACGTCCACCCCTCATCAGAAATTCGCCAACCCGTGGAATCCCTCCAGCGCCGAGGCCCCGCCCTCGGCGCCAATGGCGGTGATGGCAGCGGCGACGGCCGCGGCTGCGGCAGCGAGCTGCTTCTATGTAATTTTACCTGCGACGGTCCAAATTTGGAGGCCGCGCCGGGCAGGCGGCCGATGGGGTGGGGCTGGCAAGCAGCCCTGCTCGTTCCCACGCCCGCCACCCCGCGTCCAGAGGGGGCGCGGCCCGCAGCTCGGGGAGGGGAGTATTGTGGGTTAAATTTAGGCGGCCCGTCTCCGACGGTCTACCCCGCCACGCCGGTCGACGTCGCTCTCGCCTTAGCCCCAGGCGGTAGCCGCAGCGCCAAGCGGAAAGTATGTGCTGAAGCCCGGGGGGGGGGATATTATTTTTTTTAGATAAACCATTATTTAAGAAATTAACATTTTTATTAATTTTCTCTAAATGTCATCGGTTAATATTTATATTTTCATACTGGTTTAGTTTTCTGTAACGTGTCGCTGCTTTGGTTACTCCCTTATACTTTTTATCTTCTCTATGGATTAGGCCTATTATATTAATATTGCGTCGGTAATTTGCCACCGTATTTCTGTCAGGTTTGTAAGCTATATTTACGTTGTTCGCCCCCTCAATTACTGAGCGTTTCTTGGAGTAAAAAAGCTTCTAGATATCATATTTACACTTCAACAATTTTTTCTAGATAGACTCAAAACAAAGATTGTAAATTGTAGGCTTTTTAATGAAATTGGCACAGAAAGAGCAAAGTTGTTAGTTTACATTTTTCTTCACTGAAATGTTAACGTAGCTGATGCACAATCGGGCAGAATTTATTAAACTTCTGATCTAACTTTGCGAAAAAGAAAATCGTTGAAAAGGGACAAACCTTATCGTCGACACAAGAAAATTGGCATAACTCAAAAATATCATTTTTTAGTTAAGCAATGCCAGTGTGTGTAGAAAATTGCATATTTTTTGCGCGGGCGGATGCCTCCTCCTCCTCCTCCTCCTCCTCCTCCCGATTACTTTTACATATGAGATATATTGGAGAGGACTCCCTCGTATTCTATCGAATCGTTCCTTCTCCTCCCCCCCCCCCTCAATAAGTTGGTGCTGGTGACGGCCATGGCTTACAAGATGGTACCCCTGGCATTGTGTTTTTTTATCTATTGAGTGATGTTAATAAAAAGTGAGCAAAGCTTATAGCTTTTAGTGTTCGCATTAGTTTCAGCTCTAGCATTTGCTAGCTAAGGAATGAATAAGCTTTTGCTAATACTAGGGAGCTAAATATGGAAAATTGAGAGCGACTGTGATCAGGGCAATTTCTTAACTCTATTAAAAAAATACAACATATTTTTAATAAATTGCAGGTGTCTAGAATTAAATTATCTAAAGAAAAAGCCATCATTTCAAAGAGGAAAAAATACATGGAATAATTCGGGAAGGAAATAACATCGTTCTATTATGCCGTTTCCTCGGGTGTTGAAGGATTTCAGTACGGTATAAGCACCCATGGCGTTATGCTGTATCCGATGTCTCCGAGGAAAACTACGTCACCTTTCTGTTTGTTCATACATTTATAACGGTTAGATCGTTTGACTATTCGACTGTTATGTACAGATACGGGATACGGGCAACTGAGCATCTACACTGAACACTTCATTCGCGTTACATGTAGCTTGAACGATTAAGCTTGCAAAATTCTTGCGACTTATGTATTCATCGCCATGATAAATAGCGTGAATTGAGACGTGAGTGCATTCTATAACGCCAATTGCACATGGGAATTGATATCGGTCTTCCTACTCTAACCGAGTATGGTTCATGTGCGTTGGAAACTTAATCCATTTACAAGCTTTCTCTAGATTTTTATTCATTACAAATGTTTGCAAACAGTTGTTCGGTGTACGCCTTCTCTTGCTACACCTGCTTGGAAGCCAATATCACTAACAAAACGAAGAAATAATTGCATCTTCCGAATGGACGATAACATCCATCTCTCATTTCGTGTGCATCGCCCTGGAAATAAGTAGGTCCCCAATGCACATTTTCTAGATTAAATTGATATAAGGAAAAAAATCACTTTCGGTGCATTCCATTCGCTGGGAGTAACGTTTGCGAGACCGAATATGCTTAAAAGAAGCCATTTTAAAAATAAAAACACACATCATGAATGCCAAGACATTGGTCTGGCACACTAGAAAAATGATCCGCTTGTGCTTCAAAAAGAAAGATATATCTGATCTTTACACATCTTTCAAGCATTTGCTGAAAAAATTAGCTTTTTCTACTAGAAAATACTTTTGCTACATGTAATATTTCTGTAGCAAGTATTGTAGTATAATCTCTAGGCCAATGACCCCATCTTGATCAGGTTTTTTGTCCGGTTTCCCTGATCCTTTGAGAAAGATGGTGAGATGGCCCCTTGTTTTGCTTCTGGACAATAAATGTAACTTCACCCGCTGCTCTCAAGAAGATGTACACGTTGACTCGTCATACACGATTGTAATTGTATATGTGACTCAATAAATATTATTATTATTATTATTATTATTATTATTATTATTATTATTATTATTATTATTATTATTATTATTATTGTTGTTGTTGTTGTTGTTGTTGTTTTTATTATTATTGCTTATAAATATTAGCGTTTGCTCCTTTTTATTCACCTAAAACAAATTATTTGCTTAAAATTACCCGTTGAAAATTGTGCTTCCTTTTTGTTCACATCGCCCATTGAATCGTCACACACACACACACACATCATCTCCTAACCAATAATTTGGTGCTGGTGACGCCCTTGGCTCACAATATATCTCGCGTATGGTAGAAGAACCATAGAACAATTTCATGAAACATTAGTGTTTTCTTGAGCTCCGACAATCGCCATTTGCGTTCGTCCTGTGTCCTAGCAATGTGAAATATTTTCCGAGATGTTTTATGAATCTTTCTTGAATGGTATATTAATGGCATCTTTCGTCTCTTGTGTGCAGGTTACGCAAGTGATTCCCTGTCAGCAAGATGCCGTTCAAGCCGATTGAGAACCCCAAGTGCCCCAAGTGCGGCAAGTCCGTGTACGCCGCCGAAGAGCGTGTAGCGGGTGGCCTGAAATGGCACAAGATGTGCTTCAAGTGTGGTGAGTATTATTCAGGGGCGTAGCTAGGCTGGTACAATCGGTTCACGGCACCGCTGCACCTGGAGCCAAGGGCCCCGAATGAGGGTATCCAACGACCCCCAAATAAAGATGGAAATGGCAATGATGGGCCCCATTGGATCCCCTCAGTAACGGGCTTCCGAGACGTAGCTCTGTATTATTTATTGTTCACGCAAGCCAATGCATAAAACTGAGAAGTAGCGTAATGGGGGGGGGGGATACATCTTCGACTATTTTAAAACCTAGAAATTCTGCAGGTAAATTTTCTGCAACAACTTTTCAAAGACAGTTCTTTCACTTGGTGCAAATGTTAGAGAGGTGTGGTTAAAAATGCTTTTAGTGCATATGAAGGTTTAAATTTACCCATTCCAAGCAACAACAGTGTATAGATATTTGAAATTTTTTGTTGTCAGAAATTAAAAAATAACAGCTTAGGCCTATACAAATTGAAAATTTAGCAGAGTACTTAGTGTGGTCAGTGAACAAATTTAAATATTGACCATAATGGCAAAGTTTTAATTAACATATAATAGTTTGATCACTTGTTAATAAATTGATAAAATCATCCATCAAATATTAGAATAGTTAACAAACATTGGTACATTAGAATAATCATTATAATTAGAATAATAACAACTGATGTAAGTGAAGATGTGCAATTGTTTGTAAGTGAAGGTCTTCAAAACATTGTGGAGTCATATTTTACCTTATTAGCTTAGGCAAATGAAGAGTAGAGGGCAGGGCTGCTGTGGCTCCCTGAAAATTTCAAAAGGGGCCCCTTAGCTCTACTTAATAAAGCATTTTATTTCCGTAAATCAGTTCAATTTCTAATGTTTTCTTTTTTGAGGTTGATAATTTGGAGAACAGATACACATTAATTAATTTGGTATCAATCCCACCAAACTATTTGGCAACCCTGTAAATGTTCATCACAAAATTAACAATTGTTTTCATTAATTATATTATTAAAGTTATAATTGCATTCTCCTTGTAGTATGTTTTCTTTGTTCCCTATTAAAATGTGCCATGTGTAAATGAAAACGCTAAATGGAAAAGGGAACCGAGAGGGATCTAGAAATGTAATTGGCCCCCTTCTTGTTTTAGACTGTGCATAACAGATTTCCCTGCTACAAACATTATATTTCAGGAAATGTTTATTTTTAAATGGATTTTTTCTTAAATAGGAATGTGCAACAAGCTTTTGGACTCTACAAACTGCTCTGAGCATGAAGGAGAACTCTTCTGCAAAGTCTGCCATGCCCGCAAGTATGGACCTAAGGGCTATGGCTTTGGTGGTGGTGCGGGATGCCTCAGCATGGATCAAGGCGAGCATCTCCAGAAGCAGGAATAGTAAGTATTACTTTTAAATTTGTATTGTGTATTATCATAACTATATATTATTAAATAAATATCTTATTTCATTACCTGTGGCAGACTGGTGCAGTTTTCTTCTGACACTTTTTTATTAATTTTTTAATTTTAATATAAAAATTACACAGCGTATTTCCAATGGAATTTTTCAAAGTCTCTCACAATATCTTCTCTATGCTTGTATATAGAAGAAAATTATAGTTAAATAAAAGACAACTCTGAAATCCATATTTTTTCAATCAGAAGACCACCAACCACAATGCCTCGGTTAAACCCACACATCTTACAGCCTTCAGACCCAAATCAGTGCTCACGAGTATATTGACATAACTTTCATTTTTTACAATAATATCTCAAAAAATTTGTAAGTAAATTTTGGCGAACCTCATTCATCTTGTCAATATTTTAGTAGGCACTATAATATTAAGAATGTACTGAGTATATGCTAATAATTACAAACATTTTATTCAACACTGATACATCTGAAAGAGCTGTATAATACATAAAAAGGGTCTCCAGTGGACTTAAATGGTTGTCTGAACTGAAGTTACTGTAGTCACTTCATGTTCAGCAGATATAGAATTTTAATAGCATGCATTCACCTTCAAGTAAACTCAAAAGCTGCATAACCCCATTTCGGTCAGGTAACATCACTTGAGGGCGCTTCCTTATCTTTGAATTCCTCTTTGAGATCTGTTTTCATTTTCAATAGTATTTGTGACATATTTAATGACTGCTTGTTGTCCACAATACAGTACAATAATTCCGTTTTTTATCAAATTAAGAGAAAGCCTCTTCAGTTGTATTATACTTTGTAAGATAATGTAAAGTGAATAGATTCATCAAAAAATTACCTATTTACAAAAAATTGTATAACAATGTTGAAATTAAGGTTAGCATTACAATAGATTGTCAGTAGTGACATTTTCTAAGGCTTCCTCTTAAGTTGAAACCTTTCCTTTGTGTTTGTCTTTTATCAAATTTAAATTTAAAGAAACCAGTCAGTAGTTTTGTATAGTATGTCAATAAGTGGGAATGATGATATACCTTACCTGTATGTATTGTTCTTGTGCAGTGTGAACGGTATGGCCACGCAAATAACCTTCCTGGTAGTAATGCAAAATGCAATTCAGATTTACTGGCTGAATACATGTGCATTTGTTAGCTTTACCCAACCAAACTCGAGATGTAACGTATTGAAGTAGCTCATTAATATGCAAGTACCTACTTTGATTTTAATATTGCAACATTTGCCTTTGTTAAATACAGGTGTTAGGTATCATGAGTAATAGGCTGAAAAACATTTACAAACAATATTTCATAAACATAAATTGATTGGAACTTTCATCATAAATTACAACAGGAGTGCTTCTGGCTCTAGATATAATACTTTCATATAAAAAATCCTTGCAAAAATATTAATTAATAGAATTGATGTAAAGATTGCAATTTCATCTCCAGGGTATCTTTATATCCAGCATAACAGTTCATGCTATATTTTGCCAGCATGTTCATCATAATTATTTTGAATGTTTTTAAGTTTAAATATGAATGTTTTTAAAGCAATTATGATTTTTTCTTCAATAATTGCAGAATTTTCTGAAGAGTTGAGAAACTTCAATGTTTTTGAATTTATGAAGTCAAGGAAGTTTTTTAGCATAGCCATCCGTACCACTGTCCCTGTAAACCTGTAAGAAACAGGAAAATATCCAAGTACTGTTTTTTATAGTTTTGCTACATGCATGATGACCAATGCATTTTTTTGCCCTCCCCTTTCTTTTCGCAAACAGAAACTAAGTGTCGAACCCAGTTGAAGCGAGCCAGTAAGCAGCAAGTATTCTCGCAGCTGTGGCAGTCTGGTCCATGCCTGTCTACCATCGGTCACCATCAGTTGAGACCACCTGTTCATCCCTTCACTACCCACTCAATATATCTTTTATTTCTCGTTGGCCACAAACAGGCACGAGACTAGTTATGGTGCGGTCAAGTGTTCCCTTAGTTCAAACTTTATGGCAACATTCCCATTATGAACAGCATTTGTTTCACATCTAGAAGTGGGTTTCTGCAAGGATTACAGTAAATTCTCTTTATTTAAGGTTCATGCTGTTCTACAATTCGTGAAGAAACTTTGTAAGCATCATGTTCTAATGATACTATTTCTTTTTGACAGAAAGAGCAATTAACTCATGAACTTATCACCATTTCAAATTACGCATGAAGTAGAAACAGAATGACACATCTTTAGGTATGTGGGTTGTACTGCATACAATTTTGCAACAAGTATTTGTTTGAGAAATTTACAATTTTCCTTGTAGATGTTGAAATTGGGAATGCTTGATCGAACTTATTGTAATAGTTAAAACATATTTTAACCCTTGCTATTTATCATCTGCCTTATTGGTTGCTCAGCCTAAGTATAATATGTCACAAATGTTTTATTACTTTTATTACAAAAGATAAGACAAACTAGACTATACACAACAAAATGTCTAATTGTGTAGGGACTGGTTTGCTGAATCATTGTATCTTATAGGCAACTATGTTGTCAAAAAACAAACATATTTTTACATTCTTACACTTCATTACATACTAAATTTCTTTACCATGATAATATAGTTATAATTCTTTTATCATTTGATTTTATTACTAATTCCAAGAACAGAATAATTGAAATTGTAATATATTTATTCAGAAATGTAAGAAAATATGTGATGAAGCTAATAAAAGGTCAATATTAAATCAAATTGGATTATCAGAATTTACAATATAACATCTGCAACATTCCTCCTGAAATATTTTTATCACTCGTAGATTTAGAGAATACCTTCCTTCCTACATGCACTTAAACAGTGGCTTGAGCATACTGCTAAGATGAAATATTTGGAGACAAAATTTCATCACAAACAAATTTCCTTAAACACAACTTCTTTGTAGCAAAACTCAACCATCTTCCCATTGTCTGTTATGATTTACTTGTGGCATTTTTTAGAATGTAGTATTAACATATTTTGTATTTAAGTTAAAAAGCAAAAATTTTAATTTTTTCAGAACTTTTTTTCAGTTATATGTTTTACATAATCTTTATAATTTATAACACTAATTAAAATAATGTTTTGATATCAAGTAAAATACAATAAAATAACAGATATAAAACAATACACATAAGATAGTATAGGGGTTATGGATAAATTAACAATTTTTCATGAAATCTGTTCCAAATTTTGCTTTATTTAATATTCTATTAACATTTAATATGTCATCCTAAATCTAGAACTAGAAAAACATGGAAACTTTTTGACATTCTTGGATGTTTTGTTTCTTATGAAATTCTTCTCTCTTCATCAACTTATCACGAACTTTTCCCCAACGTGTATTTTTTAACATTGGCTTTAGTATGGTTGAGTTTTGTGATTATGAAGTTTGTGTTTGCACCCATGCTATATCCTTACGGTACACGAAGAAGCTCACCACCCTGGTCATGAGGTCATGAGGGTCGGGCTGTCGGATTGAATGCGGCCCTGGACATTGGGTGAGAACACATCAGTATTGTTTGGTTGGTGCATGGCACTGGAATCTGTATCTTAGTAGTTCGCTCCATAACAAGTTGCACTTGCTTTATTGCTATACTAGTCGTAGAAGAGCAACATGAATGCAGTATCACACCTACTTCACGTGACCATTATACTGTTCACATGAAATGCTGATTTTGTTAGGAACTTAAGATTTCAATATGAATGTGTATTTTTTATTAGTATTTTTTTCTTAGAGATTAATGCTTTCTTATTTTATGCAACAGGAACACTTTTCTCAAATATGTGATTTGTAACACTGAAATATAGCTTCTTTACAGAAACAACTTTATATACACCTCTATTCAAATGAAATACTGTTTCATAATACAAATACAAGCTTATCACTGCTTTGTGTTCAGCAATGGAGTTTCTTCTCCCCATACTAATAAAGTAATGGGATAAGGAAAGTGCCCTCAAGGATGCTGATTTATTTGATATAAATATATCACATGACAAGGGGGTCAAAATTGAAGAATTGTCCTCAGTGCATTTGTCATTGTGCTTTGTCCTAGCAACTATATTTGTACCATGGAAGCAGAAACATCAACATTGGTCCAACCTTCTCCCATTGCTTTAAACCTGCTTTGATATTTCTTCTTTGCAGGATGGCTCTTCATTTATATTGTATTTACAAAGTATAATATATGTTTAATGCTTTTATATTGTCTGTCAGCTTTCTGCAGCTGCAAAGCTATTACTAATAACCTAACATTTGATAGGCATATGAACCTGCTAATAAAGCTTTTGAGCATTACAGGGATGGAATTGTTCAAAGTAAAAATTTAGATTAACTTATTGTGCAATTCAATGCAAAAACATTAACAAAAGCTGGTGTAATTTTTCTTGTTAGAAATGCTTTGCTTCAGCTTTCAGATTCTTTCTCACATTGATAGATTGTGAACTTTCTTTACAGTTAAGCTTCTGCTAAAATTTGCATGTATGTATTTTAATCCACTGTTTGCTTTAAGAAGTTATTAAGTACTTTGATATAAGTACTACATATTACATAAGTATTACATATTACTTATCTTTGGAATGAAATAAAATTATTAAGTAAAGAGAATCTTTTACTACAACCTTTTTTTTTTTTCTTCTTACAAAAACCTTTAAATAACAGTGGATTAGGATAGTACAAAACTGAAAATGTAGATTGGAAACCATAAATACATGAAATTGATTCTCTGATAATTATCATATATTGAATGACAGATTCATAGTATATGCATTTTAACACGAGGAAAATTAATTTATCAAAAAGTATATTTTTACTAAAATTCAAAATATATAATCATAGAATACTTTCCAATTCATACATTCATATTATTTTTATAAGTATGTCATTTAAATGTTCAACTATTCTTCATATATGCATTAATGTCTTTCAGTATTGGCACCCATGCTGTTCTGGATTCTCGTGCCATTGCTAAAGCTCCTGAAGGTGAAGGTTGCCCGAGGTGTGGAGGTTACGTGTATGCAGCGGAGCAAATGCTTGCAAGAGGAAGAGTAAGTATTAAGAATTTGGAATAAACATCAGTCAATTAAAAACTGTCTTTAATTGTTAAATCAATAATTTATTTGTGAATTTCAATTCAAACTTTCAACTGTGTTTTCTATCTGGTCCAACTGTAGCCTTTGCTTTTCAAAATCTATTTATTTAATACTCTACTCTCATTTTGATATTTTCAAATTTGGTTCACCATGTATTGTTCCCATTTTACTATAACTGATAAAAAGAATAGCTATTAAGAAGATCATCAACAAAAATGTGTAAATAAAAATAAGTCCCCCATACTTTAGGGCTGGCACAAAGGCTGCTTCCGATGTAAACAATGTAATCGAACACTGGACTCCACCTCACATTGTGATGGACCTGATAAAGAGGTTTACTGTAAAGGTAGGCTGCAACAAGTGGCCCACTATGGTCTGACTTGGGCTCAGATTTGGAATATGGAGTTCTGAGTCCAATAAAAGATATAAAAAAAAAGAATAACCGAAGTTGCTGTCAGAAAATCCTTTAAGAAAAGCATTTTCTTATAAATGGGAAAATTGTTTTATATCCTGTTCATATTATTTTAATATTGAAAATAGTTTACTAGAACAAATGTGATTTGATATTTCAGTCTATTGCCATCTGATCGAGACTGGGTTATAAATGAAATCGAGACCCCAAGAAAATTGTGTTTGGATTCAGAACCCCTGCCTCCATCGGTGAGCTTTTGTGGATGCAATACCCATTGCACCCTAGGTCGGACCATTTATGGATTATCTTTTTAAAACACAATTTTTGTCCTACTTTTCTTGCATCTCTTTGTGATGCACTTAATTGCAAGATGCATCTTGCTATCAATTTCTTCCCTCTGTCTTGCATCCCACCTCTCATATATTTTAAATGCATTCTATCACTTCTAAACTTACAAAACTGCATCATTCATTCTTTTTTATAATAGTAACGTTTTCTTTTTTCCAATTCTGTTTTTATACTTTTTGGTTTGTTCTGTAAATGAATGAATTTTGTGTCAAGCACAAATGGAATTTTGACTCCAGAATACTTTAAAGAAGACTTTTGATTGTTGAATTTTGCATCATGCATTCACATCCAGTGATCCCAATTAAATCCTTCATTATTAGACCAATTTTTTAGCTTTAATTTACTACCTCATCCAATGAGAAACATTTCTTACCATCATTCTCATCCCCTCAAAAAATCCTAAGTTTCAGGAACAAAAACTGGATTTAAAAAAAATTGAAATACACTGCTAATTTAATTCTTTTTAAAGCCTTGGCACAGGGAATGCTTCAAATGTGGCGAATGTTCGAAACGACTGGACTCTGTCAATTGTTGTGAAGGACCAGACAAGGATATTTACTGCAAAGGTGTGTAAGATAGTCTAAAAATTACTGTCACAAATTTTTGTTCTTAAATTGAATATTTTCAAAATTTAAACAAAATTAATGCAATTGCTGAAATGAAAAACCTTTAGCGGTAGAAGACTTCAGGCAAAAGAGGAATAAATCATATAGTCCCACTTATTCATTCTGTCTTTAATATAACTGTATAATTTCCTGTTTAAATACTCACAGCAAGTTTCAAGACTGTGTGCTATGCATGCTAATATTTCTTCCTCCGTTTTTGTGCTGAATCCAATTGTTTGATATTGTAAAATTTATGTAATTATATTTACTCGTTATTTCATAAGGTAAAATTTCTAATTCTGGAGAAACTGGTATGAAACTGGTATGTTCATGAATTGCTCAATATAAAAAAGAATTTCTTAATATATTTAATTTGGTAGACATTTGTTTTTTGGAGTTTCTTCAGGTTTCAATTTCAAGATATGATTAACAACTAAACTGCTTTTTTCTTTCTTCAAAATAAAAGTCATTGATGTTGAGTAGTATTCCCATTTATTTAGATTTAGTTATGTTAATGTCTAAATGTTGTACCCAACAGTTTGCTATGGTAAGAGATTCGGCCCCAAGGGATACGGGTATGGCCAGGGAGGTGGTGCCTTGCAAAGTGATGCTAGTGATGCTGTGGCTAATGGGTATGTAATACCAACAAACTCTTTCGGGCACAAGTACAAGCAATGCATTCAAACGGAATATTTTCCAAGATCAGATAATATAATTTGTTGTTTTCAATGAGCTTGAAAAAAACATGAAGGGCTTCTAGAAGCATTGCTTGCTTGATCCTGAAAGAAACTACTTATGAAATAAGATGTAATAGTTATTGCTTTCTTATCCATGCAGTGTGCTACGCAAAACGTTTTGGCCCCCGAGGAGTTGGGCATGGAGGAGTGGGTTCTATCGGTCTTACATCAGATATTCAAGATGAGAGGTAGCCTAATCAGGCTCTGGTTTGATTCATCATGCAATGTCTTTTAAATCGCATGTTATGAATCACCTCCCTTACATCCAACTTGTGAATGACTGAAAGCAGTGTTGAATGTAGCTCTGATATGCAATTATCTCTATACATTCAAGAAAATATTAGCTAATGTTTTTATTTTTTATGATATTATTCTTTTCTGGAAAAGAACATTAATTACATTACTTGTTAATTGTTACATAAAATAATTTTTACTCCCAAGAGGATGTGGAAAAAAATAATTTATCTTCTACCATTTTGATTTTATATATTGCTTTTTGTTTATAATGTTATGAATTTGTTTTACAATATTTCTTAGAGAGTATTTTTCAATTAGTCACATCAATATATTGATGAAGCATATCAAGCAAAAACATCCAAAACTGACATGTTAGTGTTTTCCCCTCCCCTCGTTTAGATAGAAATGTATTTCGACGTCAGAAACATTCTTTACAGAATGACTTTGCATTTTAAACTGTTTTATTCCCCTTATCATGAATGAAATACTATTTCAAACATGCTGAGACAGCTAAATCATTGTGTAGCATGTATCTATCCATTTTTACATTAGAAAATCCAACTTCATTCCTTCTGTTTAGATATTTGTGATTTTGATTGTTGTGGTCACAATATAAAGTTTTCTTTAGTTACATGTGCCTGCCTGAATCATATTGTACCAAATGCATGATAGTACTTAGAACTTCATAGAACATAATAGAATTTATACATACTTTTCTTGCTTTATGTATTAAAATATTTACTGGGCCGGGATTTCCAGGTAGTGGAAATCAATGGACAATCTGTGCTATGATTTTCAAATTCTTATTGGAGAGAAAGTTTATTCGTCAATAACTTCACAATGTTTTATAGTCACGCTGGACCACATTTTCAAGTAAAATATTGTTAAAAAACTGTCTTGACAGTAGGACAGCTTCTTGGAAAAGTTGTGAAGTTAATGAAGAATAAAATTTATCTACGATAAGAAATAATAAAAAGCATTACACAGATTCTCTAAAATTCTACGAGTAAATTCCATCCCATTAATTAATTTAACTCAGACAATTTCATTGAAGATTTATTAAAATATTTATTTTAAAAAACTTTGTTCGAACATTTGGAACACAGCTAAAATAAGTAAATAACACCACTGTTCCAAATATCAAAATAATTAAGGAAACCCAAGTTAAAAATATCTAGTAAAATCAGTTAGAAATGTGAAGAAAATACATTAACTATAGAAGACAAATTGTGAATGATAAACTTAACTAATTTTGTCAAACTCTTTTCTAGTGAATCAGCAGCTCCTCGAACTACCGTGATTGATACAGCTGTCATCAAGGCTCCTCCAGGGCAAGGTTGTCCAAGGTGTGGAGGAGTTGTTTATGCAGCAGAGCAAGTGCTGGCTAAGGGCAGGGTAAATGATTTATATTTTATTTCTAGCCATTGCTAAAATCAATCACAGTAAAACAATTGCACCGGTGGATAATTTACATTTCTCAACATCTGAATTAAGAATTCATAATATACAAACCTTATTAAATTAATTTGTATAAACTGGTAGCAGTTTTTCAAAAGAATAGTCTCCTTTAAAGTTCTTTAATGAATTGAAAATTTTAATAATGAATTATATGTTATCGTATTGTTATTAAAAATCTTTGGTGAGAAATGAAAAGCTACAAATATCTGATAAATTTAAACTCCCTAATTCTGAAATTATTTCTATCAGGAATGGCATCGTAAGTGCTTTAAATGTCGTGACTGCACCAAAACTTTGGACTCCATCTTAGCTTGTGATGGGCCTGACCGTGATGTTTATTGCAAAACTTGCTATGGTAAGAAATTTGGGCCTCATGGTTATGGATTTGCTTGTGGTTCTGGGTTCCTCCAAACTGATGGACTCACGTAAGTTTCTTTCTTCTTCTCAAATTATAATTTACAGTAAATATTTTATAATAAATAGAATAATTTTATATAATCCCTTTATAATTGATTTAAATTAAATATATCTTCCAGTGAGGATGAGATTTCGAGTTTCCGACCCTATTACAATCCTGATACAACTGCAATCAAGGCTCCAGCTGGGCAAGGATGCCCTCGTTGTGGAGGTGCTGTATTTGCTGCAGAACAACAACTTGCTAAGGGAACGGTAAGTCAGTTAAAAATTGGAATGGCAATTAAACCGCATAAAAATATAGTCAAAGATCAATAAAATATTTATGGCAAATACCTACATTATTCATCATGTTCATATTATACTGTATAAACAATGTGTTTAAATACGAAATAACAAGTTAAAGTTCAATTTTTGAAATTATTCAATTCAATGAATTATATCTAAGAATATTAAAGAGCAATGAGAAATTGAGAAAACGATGAATGATTTTTAATAAAAATAAAATGATACATTTAGTGCATTAAATACCTAAACACTATGGAATTTTTAATAAGTTCATGTATTTATTAGATAGAGATATATTTCATTTACAATGATTATTCTTATTGTTTGCAAGATGTGGCATAAGAAATGTTTCAACTGCTGTGATTGCCACCGACCTCTGGATTCTGTGCTTGCTTGTGATGGACCTGATAGAGAAATCTACTGCAAAGCTTGCTATGGAAAGAAGTTTGGTCCCAAAGGATTTGGTTATGGACATGCCCCAACCCTTGTGTCAACTAATGGAGAATCTACTATTTCGTAGTAAGAAACACCTACTCTTTTGTATTTCTTTTCTCAGCTGAGAATATCCAATCTCATTATAACTTTATTATTTGTTTCCTTCTCAGTCCTGATGCCAGGCCCACTGCTGGATTGAAAGCTCCTCAAGGCCAAGGTTGCCTTCGTTGTGGATTTGCTGTTTACGCTGCAGAACAGATGATCAGCAAAAATAGGGTAGGTGATCACAAAGTTATAATAGTGTACTTAAAAAACAACAAATAATTAACCATTAACTTTCCCCCTCAATCAAAGACATAATATGCCTTACTTAGTACCAAATGGTCATAACTTTTAGATTTCAAACCAAAATAAAACATGTGGCATAATAAGGCTGATAAAATTTGATATTTACTGCAAAGTTATAAATTGAAAACACTGAACAAGCTAAAAATTGTAATCAACTATAAAGTTATTTTGATTATTATCTATCCCAAAATATAAAAAGAGGAGTATAAATATGTAAGGTCAAGTCTGAATGCCAACAGAATTGATACTAAAAACACAAAAAGTAAAAATAAAATAGGCTACTCAGTTAAGCTCTCTCTCAAACAGAAGTTCCAGAAAGGAGAATAACCCATGAAGGAGATGGTAAGAGCAATTCTAAACCATAGCCCACGAAAATGATTTATAATCATCATAAGGAAGAAGTACTGGTTTGCAATCTTTACAAACAGCACAAACACAATTCTTTAAATATCATTTTAAAAAAAGATCTAAAAACAATTGCAGCAACAAGTATAACAAAAAACTACTCAAATTTAAAAGACTGCTAATAGTGTGCCGCATAAAAAAGTAATTAATTGTGTTCTCAGCTATTTATTTAGTTTAGCATTTTTTTTAAATATTTTCATTTGTGCATATTCTAATTATTGGGCAATACAAGTAAGGTCATTGAGTTCTGAGAAAGGGATTAATTTCTAAGTTAGTTTTGAAGTTTTTAAATTTTATTGTGTTTAAACATGAGACTAATATTTCAATACAAGGTAAAACAAAAGGATACTTTTCTTTATTTATGAAGATGTTTGTAAAGCAGTCCCATTTGCAAAGTCTTATTGGAATATGATGTACTTTTAAACATCCAGAAATGCAAACTGGTGAGGGCAATATGACATATACTCATTTATACAGTTATACACATGTTTTCTTTTTGTTTTTTGTCCAGATCTGGCACCGACGCTGCTTCAATTGTGGTGACTGCCGCCGATCACTGGACTCAACGAATTTGAACGATGGTCCCGATGGGGACATTTACTGCCGAAGTTGCTATGGACGTAAATTTGGACCTAAGGGTGTGGGATATGGCATGGGGGCTGGTACACTTACAATGGCTTGAATGTGGACCCCAGTTAGAGCTAAGATTTGTCATGACAGAAACCAGACCAGCTTCAATACTATATGCAACGCAGATTCTGCATGTCTTTGTACATGAAGATGAAAATAATCATGCACTGAATTTCTATTAATTATAATGCTTAAATACACAACTGTAATGAGCTTCTTTCAGTATAAAATTGTGCTTTCGTATTTATAATGCCTTCTTAATTTGAAATCTACTCAACAAAATGGCATGAAAGCACTGTTTTTATCGTGGTCAGAAAGAAATTGGAAGTATAAATGAAATGCCAATGTTTCTTTTTGTATGTTTCTTTACAAGATTTTCATAGTACAAATGGTGAAGAGAGTAGTGAGAGTGTAACACCAAATACTATTACTTATGTAATTACAAGGTGTGTGGATACGTTAAAACCCCAATTCCTTTTTAACAGTGAAATGTAGATTTAGTTGGGTTTTTGTGGGACGTTTTGGGGGAACTTTTATAGTATTTTTTGAGAATGGGTGTAAGATCTCATGGAGATGAAAGAGCATTCCATAGCTTCAAATTGCTTGATCACGATATAAACAGTGCTTTTTTGAATCCTTAGTTCATTAATAGACCTATCACATGCTTCCCCAGAATATAGTTTTCCAGTACAATACTTTAACAACCTCACAAAATATAGTATTGCCTGTTTTGGGAATGCATAGTCAAGTATGTCCTGATACTGTTTCAGTAATAAAGGCAAAGCAGATCCCAGAACATTCTTCTTTGACACCTCCTTACAGCAAAATGAATTTTGCATAGCATGCACATAGATTGACTACTATAACCTAAAGTTAATTCCTAGAAAACTCAAAAATTTGCAGTCATCACTTTAACATTTTATATAAAAACTTTAAATTTTTGCAGCTACAAAATTTCAAGTATTTGTACTAACTTGAGACTTTAGTTGTAATTGTTAATACTGGCTGCACAGAGGTTTCTTAGGTGAAGAAATTAACATCTAATGATGGGGCCACACAACATATGCCTCCATACACATCTCCCCAATGATAAGTGATGAAGATGTGATATTTGATTAAATTTTTGGTGGCAATTTTGAAATGCAGAGACTAAGTCTGATCAAAGGCATATTTCATCATGTAGCTTCAAAATTGTGATTTAATATGACACTCATGTTATGGAGGTTTACATAATTAAGCTGCTTGCATTATGCAAAATGAGAATACAACAGATTGAGTTGTTGTCTTAGCTATAAATAATTGTTGAAAATCAATATACATATAAAACAAATTTTTTCTTAAGGATTATAATATGTTATTCATAAGACTGAACTGATGTTTGAACACAGTTCTAAGTTTTAATAATACAATATTGTGGGGTTTGAAATAACTAACTCAATTTTTAGAAATAAGTATTCTCATAAAATGTACATACATATTATAGATTTAAAGTGATTGTACTCTTAAAGATCACACATAAAATATCAACATGTGGTGAATTTCAGTATTTATAAACTGAATGGTGTAAAAGAAAAGTTTAAAGAAAGAATGAAAACAGAAAATACCAAATATTGAAACTTCATTTTTCATTCTACAGACTTTTTTAAGATGCAAATAATACATTACCAAATTTATAGCCATTGTAAGCGCAAAAATCAGAAATTCATAAATTACTGAAATTAGACGATTTAGTTTCAAGGTATCACAAATGTTTTACCAAATACAGTTTGCTTAGTGAATATCGTAAGATCTTGATATATTTATCAATTTATGGTGAATAAAATTCACTAACATTTATGAACTGATACAATGTACTGACTTGGAATGTGACACGGGAACAACTTTTTTGCATCTTTTCTTCCAATTTCTTTTTTTTTTTCCTTACTGTTCCTTTCATAGACTCAACAAGTCACTAAGGCTTGAATAAATAATTTTTCTTCAAAAATTCAAACTTCCTATTACATACAATTGTATATTATTGATTTGCTTATGCACTTGCACCAAATATCTTGAAAATCTGCAAATATTGCAGATTATGTTGATTTATTGCTTTTTGCATTTGTTGTATTATTCTTGTTAATATTATTTTTGTGTAGTATGTAATTTGATGTAAAGAAACAAAACTTTAAATAAATGTGTTCCAATTGATATGAGTACAGAATTTACACATGCAAGAATTTCTCTCTCAAACAGTTCTTTTTTTTTATCAGAAAGTAAGCTAGTAAGATGCATCATGTTGGGATCAATTTCTACATACAGACAATCAAGATCGAAGAAATCAAGGGTGTGAGAAACATGCTACATTGTGTAGAAAATACTCCTCCAATTATTAAAATCTTTACTTTTGACTGCTGTATATTAAGAGTAACTTTTCTTTTAAAAAACAACTTTTACATCATGTTCTCTTAAATGCAATTGCTTAATAAATTATGCAAGAGTTGTTCAATGAATTAACCCATAATACATTAACATCATAATCTCAAAATCCCCTGCAGCTGATTTACATGTCCCTCAAAATCCCCTACATTGTGTTCATGAAATCAGTTTCATCTTCTTCAAATACGAAAATAAGTTACTTACCAATGTTAAGTTTGCTCATAACTTTGTGGATTGAATATAATCAGACCAACACACCTATTTAGTCAAGAGGAGGTATATATTGCCAGAGCACAAGCAAAGTGGTTATTTTAAAAATATTTATTGTGAAGAATTGTGTTTACAAAATAGTATATTTTTATTAGCAAAAATTGTGTAAAAACAGTTTAAAAGACTGCTGGTATATAGAGTAAAATAATTTGATATTGGTGGTGAAATAAAGAACTCCACTAAGGAGAAAACTGTTCTGTAAAATTACAATAATCTTGATGTGCCACTTTTCTTGTGCTTCAATGGAATGTTTTGCTAAAAATAAAAGTTGTTTCTGCAGTTACCATTATGCATAGTATCATGATACTAGAAACAAGCAACAATTCATTTGGTATTATCATATCAAACAAATAAAATTAAAATCCCTTCCAATTCAAATATGATTACATTTGGTTTTCACAAATAGTTGGATTTCAGTTTGTGTTAACCCTTATCTTGACACTGTAACATATACGTTACATTATCTTACAAGGCTCCCAATAAGTCAACATAGACTGATGGAACAAAATTTTGAGGTTTTTTTATACTCTACAATTCAAGCATCAAATTGCAACTTTGCGCTTTGAGAACGGCCACTTCAAGCTTTTGAATTCATACTAAGCAATTTTCCTTTCTAGAGTCAGTGTGCCCCTGCAGCATGATTATATGCATTTCATCTTCATTAGCTATTTTTAAATTGTTTAATTCTCTACAAGATGTATGTATATATAGATATATGTATTTTTCAAATGATCATTAGTTTCTAGAAGTATGAAATTCAATTGGTCATGTCAGTGCTTTTGACATTCCAGTCTCTAATAGTTTGGTTTTTGAAAGAAAATTTCTGTATTCTTGTCTTAATTTTTTGCACATAATCTGCTCTACCAAAGTATGTAGGTTTTCTTAGACAATTCTTAACTTCATTCCAAGCTGGAGAGCCTGTGTACGCTTTGTGCATAGCATCGAGTTGCAACTGCCTTTTTTCAAGTGACTTCCATACTCCTCTATTTTTTGTACCCCTAAATGTGAATTTTGATGCTCTGCGCTGGAGCTTTTCTAGATTACCTTGTTGCAATATTCTGTAGAGGTCCCAACAAACCGCGCCATATCCTAACTTGGGTCGCACTAGTGACATATGAGCTAATTCTACACTAATCACTGTGCTCCTCTTTAGGATCTGCATTATGAAATGTAAAGATCTCCAAGCTTTCCACAAAATGAAATTTACTTGATTTTCCCAGCTCAATTTACTAATTGTACTTCTAAATATTTGCAAAATATGACTCTAGGTATGACATTGTTATACAATTTGTATGCAGTTTCACCATAATATCGACCCATACCAAATGTGATGTCTTTGTTCTCATTACAGTAGATGTGAGAACAGTTATTTCATGGGCTAGTAAATTTTGGATATTATATCAAATCTGTATTTCATTTATCGATGAAAAAAGTTTCTAATGCACAGCAGGAAAAATGTATTGTTATTAAATGTCAATAATACTTGTTTCTATCTTTCATTCTTAATCCATCTATGTTGATAAAAGAGAGAGATGATTCTGAAGCTCAAGAAATGCACATAACATTCCAATGCACAATTTTATTTCTTGCTGACACATTCCTCTTTATTTTAAAAATACGTACTTGAGATTCCAAACTGAAATTGCCCCCCACCCCCACCCCACAATCTTTCTATATATACAGTTCTGTTCCTGCTTCTCTTAGAAAATTCGTACACTTGATGATGCCATGATTGAATGGCCATCCATTCTGGAATTTTAAAGTTACTGAACTAACAGAATTAGACTTTTAAAACAATTTTTAAGAACTGTTTCTGAGCAATTCACTGAGTCCTTCATTAAAGATTATTTGCTAGTATATGGACTAACTTCAAATAATGTAGGACACACAATTCATCAAGAGGTTTTATCCAACTATATTTTTAATTGAAGGGGTCATAGAAATAATCATAAGCCATACAATATTAAGCTATTACAGTACAGCTATAATTCAGTTATAATGCAGTTTTGAATATCAGCTCATTTGATTGTTTTACAGACAGTGTATGCCAATGGAGGGGAATTAAATGGGAAGAGTACTGAATTGTCCACAGAGCAACATGGCATGGTTCAGCTCAATATGACTTGCCTCTCACTGACCGTTCTACTCCTTAATTCTGCCCAAAATTAATTATATGGTTAATTCTCCACAAAAGGAGATGCAGGAAGTATTTCAAAGGGGCAGTAATTACATTTCAGCCCCCTTCTCCATAAATGTGTTTAAGAAAAATAACTTTTTATTATGTGAATTTTGACTTGAAATTAGCCTGCTCCAGGTTAATGGGAATACCACTTTGTCAAGTGGTGCAATTAATATGCTGTAATTTTTTTGAATAAATTAAGTAAAATTAGCATAAATGTAGGGATTGTAAAGAGCATGCACTCTTCACTATGGATTCATCACTACTTTCATATACAAGGTCCAGAAAATCCACCAGTTAATGTTTTGATTTTATTGATAAGTATGATATCATCTTAAAATAAATATGGTCAATTAAACTATGGAATAAGGAATGGGAATAAGTGGAATAAGTCATTTTCCAATTCAATTAAAATGATATGAGAAGCTGAGAGATAGAGAGAATAATGTTTCAATAACAAAGTAAAGAAACTCTTATTCTAAGAAGATTATCCCACTATTTCCAATGTGTTAATAATTACATTGTTTAAGGAGGGGGAATATTATTTTCACCCCTTCATCGTATGTGAATAGCTCCTCCTCAAACACTCAAATTCGCCACGCGCAGTTATAAAATTAAAAGTACACAAATACCGATGAGTTGGGCAGTGCAGCCTTTTACTTCGTCCCCGTTATGACAGTGCCTAGATTGTTCTTTAACTGTCTGCCATATTGAAAAATTGCTAGATAATGTAATTTCAAATATCCCGGGTAACGTCTCCCTCCATTTCAATTGGTAGATCGCCTTTCGACGCTTATTTGCTAGTGAGGGGCAGAAATGGATGCTTCTTTGATTCATTGCTTCTGTCGGTGTGGGGGGTCAACCTGAGGTCGACCTTCTCCCCTCCATAAAAATAAGGAGCTTTGAAATAATATTGAGTGCCGCCTCTGAAATATACTCTCTGCCCCGTGCGTTCTCCAATAATTTTACAATGAATGAATAGTGTTGTTCTATGGTGATTCCACAGAGCAGTCTTATTCAAATTTCAAGGCGCGCCTCCCCAGAGAGACGTAATAATAATTTTATTTATTAAAGTTCTAATGCTTAATAATTCCCTTATTATTTCTACATGACTAAATTACTATCGGACTATGTATGCGCCTTCATTAATTTTAACGAATGGGGCAGAAAACACTTGTATATGTGATCGCATTGCTTACATGAAACCATCACTGTCAACTACCAGTTATTTAAAATGAACTCTGGCAGTTGGCGCAATAGAATACGGTTTGCTTTGTTGTGGCCTGCTAATTCCTACAACGAATTCCTGGCGTCTGAATTTTAGTGTTCTGAAAGAATCAGTATCCGGAGTTAAATAAAGCCTTGTGTGTTCCGCTTCCTTTTTCCAGTTTGTATGTAGTTTTTTTTTTTTAATTTGTTTGTTTGTTTGTTTGTTTCGTACCCATTCGGCCTTTCGGGAGTTATTATTTACAATACATACATTACACGAGGAACTTAACAGTCTCTTCCAGCTACATCAGAGCACAACTATACTTACTTGAGCTTATTTTTCAATCTATACACAGCTTCTGTTTACCTTTAATGCAAAAATATACAAAATATATAAAATATACAAAATGTACAAAACATACAAAAATACGAAATACACGAAAGAGCGTAGGCTTCCGCGGCCGGAGTCAGTATTTACTTGTCTGCCGAGTGACGCCGCGTCCATGGTGAAGGTGCCGACGTTTAGGTCGCCATTCTGCGACCTTCCTCCTTTTGTTTTGTTTTGTTTGTTTGTTTCTTTCGTCCTGAGGAAGCATTGCGCCCTGAGGAAGGTCGCAGAATGGCGACCGAAACGTCGGCACCTTCGCCATGGATGCGGCGTCACCCGGACAGCCAAGTAAATACTGAAATACACGAAATACACAAAATTCACGAAATACACAAAATATACAAAATATACAAAATATACAAAATATACAAAATATACAAAAATATGCATTCAGTAAAAATACCACGCTTGTGAATAACTCATATATACCGTTATTACAATACCATATATTGTTTATAACCTTACCAACAATTTATGGTGGCTTTAAGGCTAAATGCACCGAAAAATACGTTTAGGAAAATTCAATAGATCGCAGCACTGTCATCGGGGAAATTTACTTTACCGATGAAGTCTGAGCCAATGGTCCGATTTTCGATCTGTAAACGGCATTTGACGCCTTTTTTAAAATAGAATTTACGCTCTGGAAGCCTTTCTTCCAAAAATCTGGCAAAAACTCGAATTTGAAATTGGTGCTCGAACTTACGAGAAAAAATTCAAAAATATGGGCTTATAGTGCGATGGTTACATGTTTCCTGAATCCAACGCCGTGCCAATCATGCAAATCGGATGAATAGGAGTGTCGTAAAGTGAAATTTGGGAAAACACCTCGCCCCCTCTCCCTTCCGCGCCGTTGAGTCACCGTTCCCGTTGAGGGCCCTCTCGGCGCGGTGGCACGGGCAGCCCCGGCGGCGTGCGGCCAGCCCCCGCAGAGGAGGACAGACTTGCATGACAGGCAAACCAGACAGTCGGTTTATGTTTTCTACACTTTGCATCTCAATATATTTTTCCCCCTCA